TTTTTGTCTTTGTTTGTTTGTAACTTGCTAGTTAGAATAAATAAATCATCTTTTTTCTTACCTACAATATTATACATAATATTTGCGATTTCTTTTGATCATATCAGACATAGGTCTAGATCATGTAAGTATCGTTTGTCGCTTGACAGAACACCTATTACCTGTTTCTTTGTACTACAGTTTAAGCTTAAGAATTTCAATTAAAGAGAAGACTAACAATAGCGTTGAGAATCTCTGACCCTGCAATGCCGGGCACATACACTATACCAATGTGGACTAATGTACTCTCTGAAAAATAACCTCCGATCCACTCGATATTTGGAGAGCAGCTAGCATAGATAGCTGGCCTGAGGTCACGACTGTATATGTCTAAGGGTACTGATACACGCGTAAAAATAAGTATTCTATCATGATTTCTCTGCACACTCCATCCAATTTTAGGCAACTATAGGCATAATTGCTAGCGCGGGACCATTGGGGAATACCAAGGCCCACACTGAACATTCTTCCCATTGGCTCGCAAATACTTGACTTGCCTCATGACACACCCAATCAGCGGGCCCCAACTAAGCCCGGAGAGCGGTTGGTAAGCAAATGAGCTCATCACTCTTCTTCTAAACTCCCTTTAATCAGCATATAAACTGAAGGTTCGAGAATAATAGACACTATATATGCTGAATGCTTGCCCCTTCGATAGTCTTCATTGCAACTTCACTCGAATTTAATCATGCCTTCCTATCTTATCACTGGTGCCAGTCGTGGTCTGGGAGTTAGTGACTACGTATTTATTTGCTTGAATGGTTGTGGACTAACATGGATAGTTTGAATTTGTTCGGCATCTTGCTCAGGATCCAAAGAATACAGTCATTGGCCTCGTCCGGAACAAAGCTGCGGCTGATGTAAAGGCCAAGGAAGAGGGACTCGATAATGTTCACATGGTCGAGGCTCAGTATACAGATTTGTCCTCCCTAAAGGTGCGCGGACTCATCTGATAAATAAGCATATTATACTCATTCCTTTCAGAAAGCCGCGGAAGTTGTCAAAGATATTACGGCCGGCGGTCTGGACTATCTAATCAACAATGCGGCCATCGTCTCGCACATCAGCGAATTCAAAACTTTTGGTGACTTGTATGTACTGACGCTTCACTCAATGAAGATAGAATGCTGACAATGAACAGTGATGATGATTTCGAGACTCTGGAAAAAGATATCTTAGAATCGCTGGAAATCAACCTTCTAGGCGTTATTAAGACAGTGCATGCCTTTTTACCTCTAATCCGCAGCGGCAACGGCAAAAAGGTTATTGCCATTTCCAGTGGTATGGCCGATATCGACCTGATCAATTCCACCGAAGTAGCTTTCGCCAGCCCGTACGCTATCAGCAAGGGCGCTCTCAATGTCGCTATTGCTAAGTACAACGCCCTTTACAAAAAGGAAGGTATTCTTTTCCTCGCAGTTAGCCCGGGATATGTATCAACCGAGCGAAACAAAGGTATGTCAGAAATGTACTCATATACTGTCATGGATGTACATACTGAATCTCATCTTGCAGTGGAAGCAGCCCCAGAAGATGTTGACAAGGCAAATATTCTTGTGGGCAAGTTCGTCGAGTATGCACCGCACTTCCAGCGCCCCTTGACACCTGAGGAGTCGGTCACTGCTGTCCTTTCCGTCATGAATAAAGCCTCAATCGCGAACGGAGATGGTGGTGCGTTTATCTCACATCTAGGGAACAAACAGTGGCTGTAAGTGGGCTGGGTAAAACCGAAGGAATTAATTGATTTCGGGACGCGTTCATCGTTGTTGAAACTACTATGGTTTTACCATTCAGTGTTTAATGTTACAGTGTATATTTTTGACTTAAATTACCCTGACCCTTCACCGAAGCGATATGCAGGCTACAACGAGTATATATCTAGATATTGGTCGTGGATATTCTCGTGGACGTAGAGACGCTTGGTAATTATGCAGATCTGAACTAGGACGGAAAAGGGAAGTCGATTCATCTTGTTTCAGTGGGCGTATGAAGAGCAAACTAAAGCTCAAATATTCAAAGTCCTATGATATCATGTACTCAATTAACTTAATATAACTGCTGATACAACTGCCGTCACTTGCCGTGGTCTTGGTGTATTATCCCAGAAGGGCAAAAGGTCTTTTTTGCGACCCCTCTTTTGGAGGTGGACATATCTACCAAGAGTTTTAGTGCCTGATTAGAGAGCTCACAGGCTAGATCTTTCATTGGTCTTGGGGAAAATTCCCTCCCTATATCGGGTACATTGAGGGGAAGACTGCGTGACGTGTCACTAGACTTTTAATAGTCTCAGAACCATTGTTTGTGAAAATATAGAAACGCCTTCTGAATTAATTCCAAAGACTTTGCTACTTTTAGTGACAATGAATGAATCCACCACTGTCCTCTTTGTTCCTGGAGCGTGGCACAGCCCTGATTGCTATGATCCCGTCGTGCAACGACTCGAGGCAGCCAAATACAAGACCAGCAAGGTCCATCTGGCCTCGGTGAATCCGCCAACACACTACTTGGACTTCAGCGAAGACGTTGCACAGATTCGCACGCAAATAGAGCACGCAGTGAATGCAGGACAGCATGTGGTGGTGGTTGTTCACTCCTACGGCGGACTACCCTCAAATGAGGCAATTAAAGGACTGGACACGCCAGCAAAAGGGTCTGACTGGTGGTGTCACCCATCTGTTCTTCTGCTGCTCCTTCATTATTCCAGAGGGAGAATCTCTTATCAGTGCCTTTGGTGGCAATGACCTTCCTTGGTTCATGGTGACAGATGATAGATTAGAGGTCAATCCTGCGAATCCAGACAAAGTCTTCTACAATGACTGCAATGCTGCCCAGGTTGAAAGTGCAGTCGCTTCTCTAAGACCTCATAGCTACCAGTGTTTCCACAGTCCCTGCACATATGCGGCTTGGAAAGAGGTTCCAAGTACCTATTTGTACTGCCTTCGGGACGCGGCGATTCCTCTGGCAGTACAGAAGATGATGGTCGAAGATACAGCCAGAGGGTTCGGGATGAAGACGGAAACGGTGGATGCGTCCCACAGCCCGTTTATCAGCCAACCGGATGAGTTGACTGCGGCAATCCGACGGGCTGCTGGGGAGAACGTGTAACTTATTTTGCAGTCACTGTTTGCTCAACAATCGTTTCAGCGAGATTTTCAGCGAGGTTTGCTCGCTGATACTCAAGGTACCTACATAGTAGTGTTGAGTATGTTGAGTGACTGAAAGCAAGCATGCCATGACTTAAATTTTAGGCTCCGACCACCTTTCAGTCCATTATGCTTTTGACATAGATTAATCTTCATAACTCGACAATCTTCAAAATGTACATCGAGAGGGACCACGACAAGTTTATATCGCAGGCAACATTAACGGCCACTTGTCCAGGTTCGTTGGGGTCCCCTACATAACAGACGGGTGCAAAGCCAACCCCGTCCCCTTTGCCACGCGGACAAGCTTACTATCTCAACTTGCGTGGATCCTGAGGTGGCAGTGCTTGTCATAGCAACGGACGGGCCATAACTAAGGAAATCCGACGTCTGATCGGGGCCCCAAAGAAATCATTATTCGCCAAACTGCCGTTATCGAGTCCACGAAAACAGAGCCATTAAAATTTAAAGCCGCCAGTGACGACCTGTGAGAGCAAAGGCGAACATTTCGGGTTGTAACCTGTCTAGATAAAGTCAGAAAAGTTGGTGTTACAATCACCGCGCGCTAATACTGTGCTTCATGGTGTTCTGTCCCTCGCCTTCCGAATACGAGAACTAAAAATAACGTTTTATGTTCTATTGATTTGCTGCTCCATATCTGAGAGAGACCTTCCGGTCGGGCTTCGGTGCTTGGATTCCCATTCCTGGTATAAAGGACTAGGCTAGTGTTGGTAGAAGCTCGTTTGAAGACATGATAGCATTCAACGTATCGACATAAACCCTCCCCTCCGTATTTGAGTCCGAGATTAGGTCATGTTGCACCCACATAGATTCAATCATTGCCTGTATAGCGTACAGCCTCCGCTGATTAGATCGATTGTGTGTCCTTTCCAAGATAGAAAGAATGAGCTCCCGTTGGGTATCAGTGTGCGCTTCACATGCTATGAAAAAAAGTGGGAATGGTCGCTCGCATATGACCAACTCCCGAAGGAGGTCAAAAGCTTCACCAGACCATCTTGCCACTCGTATGCTATCAGGGTTTCTTTTCAAAACACGCTCAAAATAGATCAACCCTGCCAGTTGATAAAGCTTAGACATCTTGCTTCCGCGGTTAACTTCCTCTGAAATATTTGTCCCCGCGAAGCACGTGGTATCTTGCTTGAGTACCATTAGGTCGTGTTCAATAGAATCGAGAGAACCTTGGTCATCGTCAGGGTGTTTATAGGACATTTCACTATCGAATTGGACTTCCGACATTCTGGCGATCAGATTTATCATCTCCAGCGAGCATCCAAAGATGCTGATAACCTGTCAATTCTATTAGCACAATCCAATGGGAGGAATTGCTCTCTTACTTGATCATTTGCCACAGAAGCTAGAGTCGAAGCCATACCCGGGACCTTGAAGATCGATGCATTTTCTGCAGACTGTACCTTCCAATGTCTCGAAGCGAACTTTCCAAGAACATCATGATAATGCACCCAAAGTACAAGAAGATCGAACTCTATCAGCTTGGGGTGTCCTCCATCGCAAATTTTGTGGAGCATGCTCTTAGCGCCGGACAAATATAACGGCCATTGGAAGGAGCTCTCTGATGGCAAAAATATCTTATCTTGTTAGTAGTGCTTAAACAATAGAAGCGTGCAAGATACCTCAAATGCGCAGAGTAGCATGCCCACGGCGACATGCTGGTAAATCTCCCTTGTCCCGGTAGTGAGCCCATTCATGGATGCGGCCAAAGAGTTAAGAGCCGCCACCTTTAGTTGAAGAGACTCTTTGCCGTGTCCATGACGGTATAATGATGCTAGGGCCAATATTGCTCGTAGGACGGCCATTGAAGCGGGCGAATCGTCGGAGAATGAGAGCTGAAATAGTAATTTCCAAAGCTTATAGCCATCCGATACAATTGGGGCCAATGAACTGACTACTTCCGTCATAACTAGATCAAAAAAATTAGCTCAGTCGGCATTATTTGATAGTTAATCCGTACAGAATGACAGCAGATAGTGCCCATCGCCCATTGCTGGCTGCGCATATGTCAAGTTCGAAGATGGAAGAATCCACATGCTGGGACGTGGTATTCTTCCTTGATTAAGTAACGACCAATAAAGTCAGTAACATAAACTCGGTGGACAAACAGGTTCAAAAGCAGTCTGAACAACGGACCTACACTTCCTGGACACTGCAGATAATGTGTCTCAACATCCATCATCAACGTATTGATGAAATATGCAGATTTGCTTTCATTTGACCATTCTGGCGGACTTCCCTGAATTGGGCAATGAATAGATCTACTGGAACCATTCGCTGGCCAACTCAAGCGTAGGCCATACCCCTGGCAGTTACGGAACGACGCTGCGCAGTTCCGGCATCCCGGACGGCCCATATCACAGGATATCTTTCGCTCTGAGATAAAGTCAGAGTCCCGGTAAATCAAATTACAGTCTGCTTTGAATAAAAGCAACGTGTGCTATCTTACCGCGACATGTCCAACACCTTCGCTTTGATGGAGGTCCGACACGATAGGGTCGTCGTTGCTTTGCGGTAGACATTCTGGCAGAGCGCATTGCTCAAGGAAGTATGAATTGGAAAAGGGTTCACAAGAGTAAATTGACTGTGAGTGTTGTGCATCAGAACTCCTTCCGACAAAGAAAGGAAGTGCCGCAAGGCTGACCTTATGCCCAGGTGGGGCCCGTCCGTACTGTCACGATCTGTACTGTATCCGTCCAATTGGAGGTGTAAATGACTCTGTATTTCATTACCCCTATTTTCCACTATTTATGGGTCCATTCTAGTTACTAAGCTATGCCGTCGGATCATCTATAGACCCGGTTTCATGCAGTATTCGTAAGGTAATTGCGACACGTACTATATTCTACGCACGTGATATCAGGATGACCAAGATTTTGGTTGAAAGGGCCATTTTGGGCAGTGAATTTACCCTCACTTAGCGTTGGGGTGTAATATATTCTCGAATACTCGGCGAATGGGGATGACTATAATAATGAACCACTGTTCGGATAATGTGCGTAAGCACGAGAGACTATTTCTTCCAACAGACAAAAGTGACGCATCACTCTGTATGATCTTACATTTTGTGGTAGAGATCTGCTAGACATTACATCGGTTTTATCTCGATGGATTGATTTTGACGTATCTTGTACCACATTCGTGTATGCGCACATTTCTGATATATGCGTCTATTGTCTTTTCCCCTTTGAAAACATTTGGTTCGCACTTTTATATCAATGCGATGTCCTTAATTGGTTAAAAGCTCTGTGTAACTTCTTACCACTCTACCGGGACTTGTGTCCGCGTTTTCCCTGATTTGAGTCCCGTTATATGTTATCCTGATCATGCAGACCATATCCTAGACTTGCTATGTAATATTGCACTGATCCGCCTCGGCACACCAAGTCAGCAACTGATATCTATCTTTCGGAAAACCCCTCTGTTGGATTGTTCCCCCACGCCCCTGTAAGGACAAATACTATCAATTAGCAACCGGTCTAATTTAGATCCTGCTTAATGATATCCGCCGCCTTTTCAGCAACCGCAAACACGGTCGCCTGGATATTTCCCCTTGGCACCAAGGGAAAGATACTAGCATCAACGACACGAATATTGGCCGAACCATACACCCTCAAGTGAGAATCCACAACTCCTCCATCTTCCCGTGGCATCATCGCACAAGATCCACTAACATGGTACATAGACAAGGCGAGCTCCTTACAGAGCTCTTGCACCTTCCCCAAGTCCGTCAGGCGCTCCGGTGTATGAAGACGCTCGCCACCCTTCTTCAATAGCGATGCCAATGGCTCCGTCTCTGCAATTTTGTCCATGTACATATTATGACGCGCATGTAGCTCCAGATCAACGGGGTGACGAAGAATTCCATGATCAATGACAGGAGCAGCTTTGGGGTCAGAAGACTGGATGTGAACGGATCCCCGTGAGAGAGGATAGCTGAGCATAGAAACAAGGCTAATGAAGAAACCTGGATGTCCGAGGCCGAAGATACGTTTCGGTTCTCCTTCTCGCGGTAGAAGCTGGAATGGTGCTAGAACGTATTGAGCGGTGGGCTCGTCAGGGTTTTGGAGGAGACTGTGCAATGCCTCGTATTGCTTCTTGTGTGTCTGGGAGAGGCTAGGGCTGTCCAATGATTCTTGCAGCTGCTGGAGTAAGTGATTTCGCTCATCTTCAGGTGTGTCCACCAGCGGCATGAATGCTGAGATCAAGGGGACCATGCCGAGAGGCCCTGAGCCATCCTTCTGATAGGCGGCCATTGCGGCAGCGGCTATTGCTGGGTCCCTGGCCATATCGCCTGATGGCATACCATCTGCAACTTCATACCCAAGCGAGATCATGCCGTGGTCCTGTAAGTTCTCTCCAACGCCGGGGTTATTGATAAGAGTTGGAATGCCGTGGGATTGGAGGAGGGTCTCATCTCCAATTCCTGACAGCTCCAGGATCTGAGAGGATTGTGTTGTTCCGGCCGCAAGGATAACCTCCTTCGCAACCGAAACTGTATACACAATCGAACCCTTGGTGAATTGAACACCAGTGGCAGCAACTTCCTCCTCACTTTTCTTCTTCTCCATAATAATCTTTTCCACCAAAGCGCCAGTAACAACCCGAAGGTTCGACCTAGCTTGGACTTCCGGTCCCAGATACGCAGCCGCGGAATGGCTTCTGGTATGAGTAACCGGATCCACAGCACCAGGGCCCAAGAAGGGACCAGTACAAGCCCCGTTAATAGGATCCTCATCCTGCGGATATCCAAGAGTCTTAAAGGTATCCATCCACGCCGCATGATACGGCATATACTGGTCCCCAAAAGACACTTGGACGGGACCAGTACTTCCCTGATCTTGCTGGTCATATTTCATACCCTTGAAAAATTCACGGTTGTCACTCGAAGGAGGTGCAGCTGTGTGAAACTTGCGGACATACGGAGAAAATCCGTCCCAGCCCCAACCGGGGTTGCCCAGCTTTTCCCAGGCATTCATTCCGGAACGAGAGGGATAGATAATCATTCCTAAATTAATAGCGGAGGAGCCTCCCAAGGTGCGACCTTTAGTTGCCAATAGTTTGCGCCCATTGAGTTGCTCCTAATGTATATTAGCAAGGCTCGGGAGGGGGATATTCTGGAGTTGACCGCGATGTAATTTGTTGGACATACCTGGGAGGAGGATCGGAAGTTCCAATCGAAGTCCTCGTCTTCAAACGTCGCCGGTCCCAAACCCGGGACGGTGATGCGAGGGTCAGTGAGACGGTTTGTACCCGCTTCCAGGACGAGCACCCGGACGTTTGGGTTCTCAGTGAGTCGGTTGGCTATGACAAGGCCAGCAGTTCCCCCTCCGACAACCACAAAATCGTAAGTGGCATTCTCGAGTCCTGCAGAAGACTCGGTGTCAAAAGATGCCATGGTGAAGGATTTTAGCAGTATATGTTTTGCATACGGGAAAAAAATCCAAAAACAAAAATTGCACAGGATTGGAGCAGTATAAGTGGCGGGGCGCTGAATTATGCTACCCTTTATCATTCCATTGCACGCACCACTTAATTGAGCCCCTGAATGTCGCGTCGAATTTGCTCCTGAGCTAGCAGAAATCAACCAATCTGCTCGCGATTTAGGTATGTCCTAGTAACGGTGGTGGGCCGCGACGACACGTGTCGCACTGGAACCATGAAAGGAATCCTTCGTCCTTCGAGTCTCGGTCAAAAGCCGGTGGCGCGAGGGTAGGGTTGGGGCTGAATCTTAAGACCAAGTGTGACCATGAGTATTGAAAGGACAAGGTGCCAATTCGGGATAAGTTAATTAATGTGGTCGATTTTCGTCCCATTATCCCAACATTCGATTATCTTTGATTTCCATCCAATTTCCCAAAGGTTCCTTGGTCGACGACGGGAAGAGCCGATATTTTGCCCCCACTGCGGAATGCTTTCCCCGAAGCATTGCGCTAACCTGCATGGCGTCTGCCCAACGTCCACGTCGTAACCACTTCTGGTATAGATTTACTTAAGGACATGGAAACCTTCCCATATATTTAGCATGCCCCTTCGCTACCATGGTCTTGCGACTCTCTCCATTCTGAGCGGTGCACGGTACCCGATTGAAGAGGAACAACACGATATTATGGACTGCGTGCAAAAGATGGCAGGGACATTGTCGTCGTGATGGTAGACTTTGGGGCCATTGCCATGATGTCGACAGGTCTTGGGATTGTACCCCGGAAAATGAGAAACGTCAGCTTCGGGCTGGATGATTACTTCATGGTGATTGCGGATGAGCTCTCGAGCGATACTGTGCAGAAAGCCGTAACCGATCAAGCTCATAGTGTATGATAATAGTGTCGACCGTGGTGGTTGTATATTAGGTTCAACAATACAATGATTTATGGTAATATTTGATTTTTTTTACCTGTGATCGTCATTCTATTGTTTCCTTGTGCTGGGTACCCTATTTTGCGCAGTCCATAAAGCCCTGCAGGGGCTATGTTATATCAAGAGCAATGCTGCAAATATGGATGTGATAATGATGGAGCTTTTTGAGCTGTCCATTGTCAAATCCTTGACCTAGTTTCGGTTAGCATCCGATATTTTCGGTGTCGCGGTCTGAATACTTTCTATATAATCCCCCACAGCCAACTCTCTTCCTTCTCTAACGCTTGCCGCCGTGCTATTCTATTTATTGCGCTGTGGCGTTTCCCCCCTGCTTTTCATTTTCATGCTGGTGGCACGTGTGATTCGGGTAGTACTGCTTGTTTTAAACTCCAGAAAGCCATTTAATGATTTTCCGAAGTCTCAAGAGTGCACATGTTCATGTCATGTTCACGTTACCTGTTTTCTGCGATTACTGTGATGAGATGTGATCATAGACTTAATTCGTTCAATCAGTACATCGGATTATTATTACAAAGCTTCATATCATCCTTGGTGGTTTTGTTCTTCTTGCGCTTTTTGCTTTTTCCTTTCTTTGGCTTCTGCATCTGCCTGCTTCCACGAGCCCTCGTAATGGTGTGTCACAAGCGCATCGCCTTGGTCTGTAGGGTATCCGTTTTGAGACGCAGCGAATGAAACCCCCGGCATAATCAGCACATCACCGACCAACTTTGGATGTTTGATGCCCGAGAAATCGCGGTCATCCACAGTTCTGTTTAGCAATTGTCCTAGACTTTCCAAGATCGCGATAGTCATGATCTTGGGTCCAGTCACATTCACAACATCTTTAAACATCTCCAAAGTGATACCGGCGATAGAAACGTTGTTGGCCTGGGCGATCTCCTTCAACTTGTTGATGACAGCGTTAACGATCACAAGTAGATTGCGAGATGATGGCTGCGCTGCAAACACCCAGTTGCAGAATTGGGATGCAACTTCAGCTTCCGGGCCCCGATATGCAAAGTCGAACTCCAGGCCGACAATCATGTCAATATTGTGATCCTTGTACTCCAAGGGCACCCAATCAGAAAGTGGTTTCTCCAATGTGACATCTAAATCACTCCAGTACCCGCCCTCAGCGAGAACAATCAAATAACGAAGAAGATCTGCCCGTAAAATTGGAATTGAGAGTGTTTCGATGACCTCGACAATATCTGGCCGTGTCTCCTCGTAGTAGGCGCGAACAAACGCCTCACCGGAGCGATCGGTAAGCAATTCTTGGCGGCACGCCGGAGTTGTGCGCGACCAGCTGTTGACCCATTGGCGTTGGTTTTCCGATATATCGTCTGTCTTTGCGGAATGCCAGACTTTATCCGGAATGTTAGAAATTGAAGTGTTGGTGTTTGAATAGTGAAATTTGGATTTGTTGGGCGAAGGGTCCTCAGGGATTTGTGGAGATTGAGCTGAACCCGAGTCGCCGGTCGCAATCGCTCCTGAGGAGGGGTTGGGATTGGGGATGACCTTGTGTATCGGCTTCCAGTCCGCATAGAAAGCACACAAGAGTGTAAGAATAACGACAACAGGGACTGCCAGGCGCAAGGAGCGCGAAGTGTTTAAATTGGTGACCGATAACATGGTGTGGGGGCCCCTCAGGACATATGTTGAGGGGAGAAAGAGATAACCGCAAAAGCAAAAGCGAGAGTGAGAAAATGAAGGCTGAACGCAGTATAAAAATGGATGGACACGAACGATGAGACAGAGAAAAATAAGAAAGAGGCGAAATGAATCCTTTGAGGATCAGCACGTTTAGCGCTTAGGGGAACTGCGGTTAAATCGGTCGGGATCTCCGTTTGTGATCCACTGGTCCAGGCTTATCGGAAAGTGCCTCTGGAGGGTTAAGTGCATTAGGGCGTGGAATTTAGTGGGAGTTAAGTGGTTGGAATACGCCGTTCTGATCTGCCGGGTCTTAGTGGCGGTTATTGAAATCCCCTGATTGGCCTGACGCTACAGCCTCATGGACAATGCATTGCATCGCTATCGTATACAGCCAAAATAGCAAGCAGAGGTTCGCGTGTTCTTGAGACCCTTGTCCGGCGGCTAACTCAGTGAGTTGTATCCCGGGCATCAATCCGAATAAATTACCACAGGTACCCTTTTCCTTTGCTCCACGCGACATTCCATTTTCCGAGATTCAGAGACGATCTTCTAGATTCAATGAGGTCGAATTCTTTCGCACCATTTTCAGCATGGCTTATGCTGTTGAGCAGCATGCTTTGGTGCCATGGGGTTATGGGTCAGAGTAATTCTGTGAACATTTCGATACAGAGTGACCCTCATTTCATCGGATGGTATAAGGGACCATCAACCAGTAAGTACACGTCTACGATCGATCTACCCACAGTTTTGTACCGGACTGAGCTTATCTTCCTCCAGCCCAGGCATTAATGGACCCTGAGACTTGGACTACTTCTGGGAACTATGCGCGCGGTTGCTCAAAAGGTGTCTGCGGATATGCCACGGACTGTAGGGGCAATAGTATCACCTATGATGATGGTAAAACGTCTTCGTGGTGAGTTTTCAAAAGAGAATTATCCCAGCCATTGAAGCAGAAGACTGACCTTTTCTCTCTTGTCACGTCTAGCAATGTATGCCGTACCATGACCATCTTCCAATCAGCACCATACGCATCACCCTCGGCTAGCAATATATTTTGCGCAGAGTATTGGCTTGCCTTCACTGTCTTTCGTGAATTAGCAGTATCAACCACTAGCTCAGGTATTTGTCCAACTTAGAAAGCGAATGACGGGTCGATTCTGATTACATCTCCAGACTCTTCCACTATTTCCACATCGTCCCGTACAAGCGCACCATCTACCACCACTTCATCCGCGACTGGCTCACTCTCAAACAATTCCCCAACAACGGCCGCACCCACAGCCAGTTCATCCACCACAGCTGTCCAAGCCGGGGATTCGCAAACCGTGACAGGAACACAACCTAGTCAGAGTAAAGCCTGGATTGCAGGAGCTGTAGTCGGCTCAGTTGCAGTGCTCGCCATAATTGCAGGTCTCGTTGGATGGTTCTTATACCTCCGAAAGAAAGCGCTGCAATTATCCGCAAAGGAGGAGTCTACCATGAGGCAGAGTCTTCCTTACCAGCAGAGCCTTTACAAGGCACCTCAAGAAATGGATACGGTGTCCAATCCATTTGTACATGAGCTGAGCTCGTACGGTCACAAATGAAAGAGCTGTGATGGATTTTTGAGACTGAGCTTGTTGAAAGGCCAATGGTATGGCGAACACGACGCAAATATCACACTGGACATGACTAACGACAGTACTATTTCTGTATCTTATTCTAGAGGAAATAACTCTATGATGTGGACGATGGAGCGGTCATTTGGCTTTTTTTGTTTCTGCTGGAAATATCTTTGAAGCTTTGCTTTTTTTACTAGTGTGAGTTAACCTTAAATGCATACAACATCATTTGATGATAGAGCAACTAGTATATGTGGATCACATCAATTGTTACTTGGATCCGGAGTGCTTATAGTATCGGAACCTGTTGGGCTTCGTAAACCTAAACAATGCTCGAGTATCATACATGCGACAGCTTTGGAAGAGTGGACGCCCATTCATAGGTGATGCTATATCTGAGGCTAAAACATCAGCCACAGCAGACAGTTGACTCGTTTGCTACACTTGTCTGCTTCCCATCACTTTCGTGTAACATAACAATGTTAGCTATACAATGAACCGTAGCCGCAAACACAAGAGGTACTCACCCAGAACTAATGGTCTCCCACGTAAAGATAAACGAGCCAATATATGCACCAATGAAGATACAGATAATGAAGTACCCATTGTAATACATCGCAAGGCTTACAAAAATTAGTCATTGGAGTCACACAAGTCAAGACTTAGAAAAAGAAACTCACAGCATAACAAAGTACGCCACAGCAAATTGACACATATGCAGCAAAGCTCGAACCATCTGTTGAAAAACCGTAGGCCTAAACCCAAACGATGGGATTTTTGCAGAAGAAGCCTGGTTTGTTTCCGTCGCCGCAACCTTTGATTTGTGCTGTCTCAAAAGAAGACGGTCGTACTCTTTTCCCAATCGGCGAAGGAACTCCAGGCAGATAACGAGACAGATAACGCCAATACAAGAACCTGCGAACATTCCTCTGGAGGTTATGTGCCATGATTTGGCGATGAAGCATGTATCGACTGTGTTCCAATTCCATAACATCTAGAAAAGATAGGATTAGAATGGTGTCATGTACCAAATGGGTGTATAAATGGTGGCTTACTGAAATCTTGCATGAGTGACCGCCGCCGCCCATGTCCATACTCATACTCGAAGCGGAAGAGGTCGCGGCCGGTGTGGCAGATGTGGTAGTGCCCATTGACATATCCATGATGACGGTTGAAATAAACAGAAATGGGTCTTGGAGGGACTGTAAAACGGCAGCGGCAATAATATTAATATACCCGCTATAAATTCGCAGCTTAAAGAAAAAGGTCAGAGCGCAACATGTGTCAGACAATAGTATGTAATACTGGGCGCCAATATTGGCGTTGAGCAGGAATGAGCATGTTTAATGCCAAGGACTACAGGTCACCTCTTTCGCCGTTCCGAAGTTGCACAAGGTGTCCACCGTCCGGAGTTTCTATATTGGACCATTCTTAAAAAGACAACATTCGCATCTGCTCGGATCTGGACGGAGCTGAGAGAACCGTTAACTATGGCGAAAGACAGCACTCTTTCTCGTGACCTACACTCTTGTAAGAGTCTTGGTACGTTACATGATGGAGTCTTCTATGTCTTTTTAATATTCATAATACACCGAACATTGCTTTCCAAATCACCGATTCCACTATTACTAGCGACTGAACAAGTGTTGTTTAATACCTGGTTGAATATTAGCAGGGTCCAAGGAGATCAAATGATAAGCAAAGACTCACGAAAAGTTCTCAGTGTGGAGCCAAACCTCCCGCGCAAAATTATTCTGCTTGGCAAGAATTCTATACTGAGCAGACGAAACAGCCTCACCCACATCGTGGGTCATAGACGAAGGCCCACACACCACAACACCGACAGAGACACCATCCTGTCCAGCAAAATCCCGAATTAACGCCGGCAGATCTGGACGACCAGAAAAGAACTTGACGCCAAACATCTCAGTGGTAGATGTCTCCCTAACAGCCCCATTGGTGGTCTTTTCATCCTCTTTCAATTTCAGATGAGGAAGCACCGTTTCTGTCTCCATCTTTGTCTCCATAACCTGAAGCTTGGCATGCGTCTCGTGGATGTGAACAGAAATACCCGGGATAACGCCTTCGTGGGAATTTCGCAGTGCCATGTCTTCCAATGCCTGAATAAACCATGCGCGCATCCCAGGATCTCTGGTAGCAACTACCACCTTCATTTCAGCTTTGCCCTCATGGAAGGAAGAAAGTCGGACAAAGTCCTCCAGCATGGAGAGTGTGAAGCCGGCACCGGCACCACCACCGATAATGAGGCTTTTGTCAGAGTCTGCTAGCTTGTGCTCGGGAATTCCTCCGTACGGACCATCTAGCAAGACAGGAACTTGCACACCCGGATTCTTTTGCGCCAAGCTCATCAGTCGGCCGGTTAACCCACCACGCCGCTTAACATAGAACACCAGTTGGTTTTTCTTGTTATTCTGCGGTAACGAGCAGATGGTAAAGGGATGTGCGGTGAATGCGTGAACACCACACGTCAAGAATCGAAGGAAGATATGTTGACCGGGCGCCCAATGCATCTTTGTATCGATAGTAATGCGGAGCGTGTCATCCGTTTCGGGTACAAGGCTAGCCTTGTGTCTGAAGCCGTGCTCGATATATGTTTTGCACTGGGAGTATAGCCAGCAGAGGCTGTAAATAACTGCTGTTGCGATGAAGTAGTCCCAGGATGACATGCGGAAGTCACAGTGGAAGAAGAAGAAGATCACGAAGACGAGTGCCATGAAGTAGTGTGTTGCTTTGAAGAATTCGTAGTACCGGTTTCTAATTAGGGATAGCTGTTAGCAACTGTTAGATCTCTGTTGAAGGAGAACGTACCGGATCCAAGGAATAGACATGAATGTCAGCCAAGCTTGCGCTATAAGTGCGACCACACCTGTCACCCAGACTCCGCCTTCGCTCCACGATGCAACAAGATCGCCTTTCCAGGCGTGGAAGACAATGAAAGGGAAGGTGTGAATTAATGCCAGGACGAACATTGCCCATGCGACCCAATTGTGCCATACGTTTAACTTTTCGTGGGAGATACCTGTTAATGCCGTGATGGGGTTTGCCTTGGCACCTAGGACACTGTCAACTGGTTAGCTTTCTCGATGTCACCAGGTTGAAGGTATGGTTCTCACATTAGGAACGGCATGCAAGCATGAGCTAAGAATCCAGCACGAGTAGCAATGGGAGGAGAATTTCCGAAGCTGATTTCCTTCGTGTTAGGCCAATAGTATGGACGAGGGCCAAGGGTCATGGCTGTATATGCAGCTCTGATTAGCAACAATTGTCCTCCAGAAGGGTTAGGGCGGATAGGTCACTCACCAAAGAAGAAAACCGCACCGGCAGCCCCAAGCAAGCAAACACCGAGAGAATGTGTGTTCCATCCACCAAATCTCCAGCTCTTATAGGAAAGGAAGCGAAACGCCGCTACGAGACGCGACCATATCGACTTTTTCCTTAGGCCTTGTGGTGCAGCTTTGGATACGATATGTGAAACTGTGAAAAGGATAATCGCAACCAGAAAGAACGCAACCGTTGGCAGGGCATATCGATGATCGGCTTCATACCAGAACACCCAGTAGCTGGTCTTGAGTGCGCACTGCTCTGGAGTCATCGTGCATTCACCTGCATCGCGACTAGAGTGTAGCATGACAGGCTGGTCCAGCCATGGGACCATACCCATGCTTGATTCCATCTTCATCGTTGCGGTATTGCTGAAATTCTGCTACCACATCCGTTGGAGATCAACAATCGTTCTGCGACAGTGTTATAACCAAAAAGATGAAACCTGTCTCGCGCGGATATCATTCGCGTTTACTAATACCTGTCCCGCTCGATCACCTGCGGGTACCCTCCCCTGTGTAAGACCAAGAGGATCAAATGATATCTGAAATGATTGGATTAGAACATGCTCAAATTGCCCGCGCTGTGCGTATGCAGTAATGTGTAGGGGCTTCGGAAAGGTCCGAGCCATGGATCTCAATGGGGCCGTTGTGATTCGCCGAAATGAGTGAGGGAGTATGAGAAGGTTTTGATATAAGCGCATTAGCGGACCCACCGATATACGTCAATTCCCTCAACTTTGCGAGGTTTTCCCCTTAATCTTTGAAATCTTTGACCCGCGTGGACCACGTTGTCCGCGTGGGAACTTGGGTGTCACGGTCCGTGGGTTGACACCCAAGGTTCTTTTCGCTTGTTCCCGATCACCTTTTTAGTACATGTACTCCCCTCTTTGACTCATATAGGTCAAAATAGCCGTTTCTCTGTTTCTTTCTTATAGCGTAATTTCTCTTCGTCCTCGGTTCACCAATTGAATAGCCAAAATGGACATGTCAGACATGTCAACGACAATGTCCATGGCGACAACAACGGGCATGTCCATGGCAACATCAACCTCATCATCCATGTCCGGCATGTCAGGCATGTCCGACATGTCCATGTCAATGGCCGACATGGCAATGACCTTCTTCGTCTCCTTCAAAACACCTCTCTTCTCCACCGAGTGGACACCGGGCACGCAAGGCCAGTACGCCGGTACATGCATCTTCATCATTGCGCTAGCCGTTATCATGCGCGTTCTTCTGGCCGTCAAGCCGATCCTCGAGGGTCGCTTGTGGACGGATAGCATTCACGATCACATACTTCATGATCATTCGAACCTTGAAGCTGGCAAGTCAGCTCGGGCTCCCTCCGGGGTCCGGATGAGTGCGCAGGAGATCGGGAGCCGGTGGGCATCGTGGCGTGTGAACCCTGCTGCTGGTCGGGCGACATATGAGGTTGTTCTTGCTGGTATCGCTTATCTATTGTGAGTTCTATCTCTCCACTATCATTCGAGTTAACCAGCCTGGAATGCGGTAGCTGACGGTGCGACAGAATGCTTGCGGTGATGACGATGAACGTGGGTTATTTCATGTCGGTCCTTGGGGGTGTTTGGTTAGGAACTTTCATGTTGGGGAGTGTGGCGGCCGATAGTAGATGGATGCATTGTTAGGAAAGCTGAGACAAGGACCGTAAGGCTCTTAATAATACCAGGTACTTGGAATCTGACTCCAATCAAGCCGTAGTTGCCAGATGGGAGATAGGCAATATTGCTAGATGGCCATGTCCAACCACAGGTCATGGGGTCAGCAGCAAACAAGTCAAATAATTGACAAACTAAGCTCTAATCGACGCGTCCTGATTATCTCATCAGCTAAATTTCCCCCTCCCAAAGTTGGGAGTTCATCACCAAATAGCCACGTCTTCCCAATTAGGAACGAGGACGCGACTTGCAGCCTCAAGAGCAAACACTCCAAAAAGGTTAAAAAACCTTAATATTGGCCAGACGCGTTTTTATGTCAGCCCATCGTATTTCTCCCTCCCAAAGATTGGAAAATGTCGCCAAATTGCCACGCCAGCCTAAAAAGGAAATCCGGGGTAAGCAAACAAGCCAAACTCTTTGAACAACTTGAATTCTCCTCAACGCGACAGAAGATGTAAAGACGTGTCTCACATGTGACCTCTAAATTTTCCCATTCTCAAGTTGGGGAAAAGTCGTCAGTCGCCCACATTGCTCAGTACGGGGGATTTCTTCTCACACCAAGGCCGTTAATTAGATGTGTCTGCATATCTTTCCTCACTACCCAAGGCTATCATGCTCTTCCTTGGCAATTGCTGATTTCCATGGCTGAGGTCATGGACATGTTTCTATTTTCCCACCCTTATGTACGGACAGTGATGTGGTTGTGCTAAAAAAAGAACCACGATATTGACGACGTCATTGGCCAATGCCCCGCTAAGCCACCCACCGCCACATCGGTCCATTTATCAACATCAGCATCAACGTCAACATCAACACACCTCAATTATCAATCATGTCTCCCCACGAAGGACTAGTTCACCCCAAGGAATACGACGTCAAAGATAGTAATGTGGAGCTAATCGGATCCGACCTCGATCACCGCGTCAAGTACAACTCCGCCGCCAGCGAGCCAGCCTGGAACAACGGCAAGATCGGCCAAGAAGCCGGGCTCTACATCTGGCGCATTGAAAACTTCGAAGTCATTCCCTGGCCCAGGGAAAAATTTGGCCAATTCTATGACGGAGACAGCTTCATCGTGCTGCACACGTACAAAGTCGGCGACGACAAATTAGGCCATGACATCTTTTTCTGGCTCGGCAACAAGACTACCCAGGATGAAGCCGGTACCGCCGCTTACAAGACCGTCGAGTTGGATGAGTTCCTTCACGGTGCTGCGACCCAGCATCGTGAGGTGCAGCAGGCCCCCTCGGATGAGTTCTTGGCGCTGTTCCGTCACATCTCTATCCGGTCTGGTGGTGTCCGGTCTGGGTTTACACATGTCGAGCCTGAGGCTAAGGAGGATATCCTGACGCTTCTGCGGATCTTCAAGCACCCTGGTGCTGGCCGGATTGATTCGCTCATCGTGCATGAGGTCGAGCCGACCTGGCAGAGCCTCGATGAGAATGATGTCTTTGTTTTGGACAAGGGCGACAAGATCTGGGTTTGGCAGGGGAAGAAGTGTAGCCCGATGGAGAAGGCGAAGGCTGCGCAGGTGGTCAATGATATGACTCTTGCGAAGCATGTTGATGTTGAGGTCCTCTCGCAATTGGAGTCGAGGTCGAAGCTCGTTGTCGATTTGCTCGGTGGGAAAGACAAGGCTCCGTCTACTTTGGAGGCGCCGAGACCCGGTCGTTTTGGGAAGAGGTCAAGCGAGGCCAGTGCTGGTTCTCCGTCGCGCAAGCTGTTCAGACTCAGTGATGCCTCGGGCGACTTGTCCTTTGATCTTGTCAAGGATGGACAGCGTGTCAACCGGTCCGATTTCGATGGAAAGGATGTCTTCCTCTACGATACTGGCAGCACACTCTGGGTTTGGCAGGGATCTGAAGCTAGTGCGAGCGAGAAGGCTATGTGGCTCAAGGTTGCTCAGTTCTATGTCCGCAAGATTCAAGAGAGCGTGCAATCTTCCGAGGCATACCTCAAACCTATCTCCAAGGTTTCCCAGGGCCATGAAAGCCCCGCGTTCTTGAAGGCCCTCGAGGTCTAAACCTATACATACGATTACTGTGGCATATGAATGAAATCAACAATATCATATCATACAGCTTCCCCAATGTGTTACCCTATGAGCTTTCACGAAGTGATGCGTCTAGCCTATACATATACGTAATCCTCAAAGCAGCTCAGAACCCTCACCCCCCTTATCCAACGCATCAGCCTGCTTCCGCAGAACATCAGACCGGAATCTCCGGAACGCAGTCTCAATCCTCTTCTTGCTCTCCGGATCAGCCGAGATACCCCGGCTTCCACTAGCCGCACCACCAGCAAACCCTACGTACCCGAGACAACCGTTAAAATGCCTTCAACTCTGAAAAATATGGAATGGAATACCAACCAAGTTCACCACCCAAAAGCAACCCACCAGCGGAAGCAAAGAAATAAGTCGCAAAGTCACCCAAAGTAGTAGGTTTCAACAACGGCGTAAGATCAGGAACGGACTCTGCAACGCACATCAGCCCACATTGTTCCCATCCCATCCCATGCCATCATCCAAATCAAAATCAAAATCGAACAAAATCTATTCCAACATACCAGTTCTCCCATCCTCAAAAATAACCTTAATAGGCTTCTCCTGCGCACGCATAGCTGAGAAAATCGCCTTGCGAGTGCTGCGCAGCCGAATCGCAGCGAGTAACCCCAGACTCACACCAACGGCTGATCCAACGGTTGTCCAAAGAGAGACTGAGGAAGCGGCTGCTTTTAGTTTTTCGCGGTCGTTCGGTTGGAGGTCGTTTTGCATGTGTTCGTCAGCGAGCTTTGCTAGCTCGTCTGAGCGGTTTTGGCGGAGGATAGCGAGTGAGTCAGACATATTGGTAGGTATTGAGGAATTGATGATTTTATGAGTGTTGCTTTTTGTGCAATTGCTGGAAAGAGAGGAATTTGTAGCTTGAGGAAATTCAAAGTGGTAAAGGTGACGTCATTGATCTGGAACTGGGCTTGGAGCTTGGACCTCGGGATTCGGAAGTATGCGAGTCTAGACTGGCGATTTTAACCATTACATATGGACATTGAGCGTACTTAAATCAAAGAACTTTGAATAACACAAAATAAGTCATAAATGGCATGAATTGGGATTATCGTGAAACGGTGTTTGCGATTATATCTCGAAGTTGATCGGGATCTATTCCGTTTGGCCGTCCTGCTATCTCCCCTCGCAGGTATATTTCGGGATTAATGGGGTGAATGATCGAGGTTTGATTTTTTGATACATAGTAATGTGCATGTCTTCTCATGCATTGTCGTTTGTTCTATCTTGTGGTGTAGCCTCTGATATGCTGTTGGTGACTTTGCCGCGAGTATGTTCTGTGCCATGAGACTAGCTCGGCGTCACCCCTTGACGTGTAGGAGCGATATCAGCGATAAGATTGCATTGATGGGTTCTGTCAGCGACGCCAGCTCTCCTAGCGTTGGCTAGTGTTGGGGCAAATTTCGGAGGACAAAAATGTCAGATCTTTTAATATTTTCACCGGTGAAAAGGTGATATCAACGGGGAATGCGATCCCTATTCAGGTATAGCATTGCACGATCTATATTTTGGGATCTCGGCTTCTCGAGGAGCGTCGACATTTGTGGAATGCGTAAGCGTTTGGTCAATAGTTCGTTGATTCCGTGTTTTTCTCCAATTATCAGTTGTATTCACAACGGCCATATTGATTAACCGGTAGTGCTCAGCACTCTCAACCCCCAAAATGTTTCATATCTCAGGCATCCAAATTCTCAAGAGTCAAAATTCAACCGCTTTTAGGCGTGAGTCGAACAATACTTCGCGCCGCTTCTTCAAAATCCGCCTCAACAAATAAATTGTCCAATCCCGATTCCTCAATCTATGATCCGAGTCAGCCATGAAAGCAATATACTCCAACCTGCAACATTGACTCACCAATTTCAATCCTTTGTCACTATTCGTACCCTGCAGCCGGACAACAACAGGGACCTTGAAACCTCCAATCTCCTTCGCAGCAGCAACAATCGACTCAGCGATCATATCACAACGCACAATGCCTAGGAACATATCAGCCAACCACCTTCCCGATGCCTGAAGAAAGCATATACTCACCACCATAAATATTAACCAAAACCCCTTTAACCCTCGGATCCCTCCCCAAAATACGAAAAGCCATAGCCAAAGTTTCCTTCGTAGCCCCACCCCCAACATCCAAGAAATTAGCACACCTGCCCCCAAAAAGTCCAATCAAATCATTCGTCGCCATCGCAAGTCCCGCCCCATTAACAATATTCCCAATATCACCATCAAGCCGCACATAAGAAAGCCCCAACTGCGCCGCCTCAAACTCCTCCTGCTCCTCAGGGGACCGCTCCTCCAACCCAAAAATCTCCGCCTGTCGGTATCGCGCCGAATTATCAAAATGCAACTTCGCATCCAAACAAACAAAGTCCCCTTCCTCGGTTCGCACAAGCGGATTCAATTCTAACAGCGTTGCATCTGTCTCCCTGAATAATTTCACCATTTGTTGCAGGATGTGTCTCACCCTCCCCATTTCTGAATCCGAGAACCCGAGCTCGGCTTGTATATAAGCGTCGATTTCATCGGTCATACCGGTTCCGAGGTTAAACCATAATCGGTGTAGACTGTCGATGTTCGATTCTATGTTTATTCCGCCTTCATCTGATATCAGGAGAACTGGGGAGGAGTGTTTTCGATCGAAGGTCATTGCTAGGTAGTATTCGTGCGATATGGTTACCGCTTTGTAGATGTATAGTTTTGAGACGGGAAGGCCTGGTGGTGGGGTCTGGTCTGTTTTCAGGTTGTGACCGAGCATTTTCGTTGCGTTTTCGAAGGCTTCGCCTGGTCTGCAGAATTTGGTTAGGTCGGGGCTGGTCTCTTGTGTGTAGTTGATTCTTAGAACTCACGTCTTGACGATCCGGACACCACCTTTGCCATCGCTGTCGTATGTTCCTTTTCCGCGGCCGCCCGCTAGGATTTGGGCTTTTATTACCGACGGTGCATCTGATTTGGTTCAAGGTTAGTTTCTATATAGCCGAGTAGACTTGGATGGGAGATGGACTCACTGATATCGATAACGACATTCTTAGCTTCCGCCGCACTTGTAACTACGAACCCGTTCGGTACTGGGAGTTGGAACTACCCAATGTGAGTATTGTAGTTTGGCAGGACGGGTATAGACCATACATCCTTGAGCAATTTGTGTGAGTGATGTTCCAATAGACTCAGTCGTCTGATTTGCGTAAATGGGGCGTGGTGCTGTTTTAGGGTGGTTGATACACCGGGTCTGAGGATGTGGGATTCGATGGGGGAATGGATTTGTTGGATGAGACGTGTGAGGGAATGCCGAGTGTTCATGATGGGTTTCATTGAGTGATCGTTTCCATATGTGAAGATCGGATTCCGTATGTGTAGAGTGGAGGTCACTTTATGAAGGTCGACATTACACGGGTCATGACATCAGCATGTCTCTTTTTACTTAGTCTGGGGGCCCGGGGTTGGAGGATAACTTTATTTGGAGCGTGGATCGCGTGACATGCTAAGATATCCACTATAGCTCGAAACGGGAGCTATTTGGTCATTGGTCAGTGGCAAAGTAGCCGAATGTTATCTAAAAAAATGTGTTATCTCCATCTTAGGGTCTTGTATGTATAAGCCTAGAACTAAGTTATCAGGCGAAACATTTCATTCTGCAAACCCGAAATGACTGAATTATGCACTAATCCAAAAGAGACCCTTGAACAGCCCGAAAACGTTTACCAGAAACTCGCGCTAAATCCATAATGAAATACCATATAGATACAAGTGGTTTTCACCTCTTCCCTCCCCAGTACCTTTCTTTTTATACCTTAATAATTAGAAGGCCAATTACCAGTCCACCTAACAGAATGTTCATCTTCATCATCAATAGCAACAACCATCCAAACACCAACCTGCCCATTATTCGCCAATAAAGGCGTACAATGAATCCAACGATTGCGGCCTTGATGTAAATTTGGTCACCCACTTGATGCGCGCCGTGACACTCCACCCGGCCATCATGGCGTTCAGTATATTATCGCGTTTGGCGCCTGAGTCACCGATGCGGTTTAGGAAGAAGGATTGGAGCATCCCCGGGATTTGGAGGGAGGGGGATGTGAAGAGGATGCGGAGGGAGGGGTATGGGCGGACGAGGAGGTACTGTATCATTGTTAGTTATTTGGATACCAGGCGACGTGGTGGGATTGGACCGTACGTGTTTGTAGACACCGGCCAGGGAAAGACTGGGAGCTTGAGTTAGTGTGGGATTTGACTGGGATGGCGGTTGATCTTAGGTGCCGCCCTCGGTCTCGGTATCGGAATCTTGCAGGAAGAGTCGATGATTTGGATCTTCGGTGACGATCGGTTGGAATAGGTTGCCTCCGTGTTCGCGCACGCTCTGGAGTTCACGGAGACTGAAAAGCTCGCCTAGTTCTTGGAACTCGCTCTTTGACTCTTTGGTCATGGAGCCGTTCGTTGAGGGATTTTCCTTTTGCGCTTGGATATTTTGTAGGGATTCCATCTGAGCGCCTTCCATCGCTAGTCCTGAGACATCGATCTGGGCACCGATGAAGTAGAGGACCTTTCCACGGCTGTCGCAGAGAGGTGCACATTGGAGGAGGTTCATGAATGGAGAGCCATCACGGCGGCTGTTTGAGCCTTAGCTTTAGCTCAGATATGTAGTATGTGAAGCTACTCACTAGTTGAGGAAGAGCTCGGAGTGGTGTCTCTCGGCCTTAATACCCTCTCGGATACGTCGCACACTGTTGGGATTTGTTTTTGGGCCTTGCAAGAATCGACAGTTTCTTCCGAGGACATAGCCCATACCGTACTGAGTAGTGCGATGGAATTCTGAGCCTAGTAAGCGTCCTTCACTTAAAAGTGTTGAAAAGCAAACATACCTCCAGAAGCAAAGATAATAGGATTATCTGGCCGCGACGGATCCGTCAAACAAAACACCTCAGCCAGCGCATCTGCAGTACCCTGGAACTTATCCGGGAGGGTTCCGCGCACACGCTGTTTAACAACTTTGCTAGTAATGCTGATACAAGTGGAAGCGATGAAAGCAGGCAGCTCCTCCGCAGTCAAAGCATCCAATGCCGTCTGCACACGAGCTTCAAGCGCAGTGTTAACAGTAGGACCAACAGGCTGCTCGGCCGTTTCAACACCAGCCGTAGGCACGTCGACAGCCAATCGCACGAGCACATTAGCATACTCAATAGCCTTGAGCGCTTGCAGGCATTGAGATAATAATTCAAAGTCGAGAGTGACCCAGGACGCTCCTGGTGCAGGAACTCGCGGAAACGCGCAAGATAACGCGGGTTATTCAGAATCGCCAACATATGCTCCGAGCAAAACATCAAGTCCGCTTGTCGCTCCAGAGAATGCAGCGAGGCTGCGTCACCCTTGTATGGAGCGACCAAGTCGTAATATTGTTCCTCATTTTCTTCAATAATCGGGTGGAATTGTTCGGAGCCCTCGTTGGGGTTTGTCTGTTGCAAAACTGGAAGCTCGTTCACCAAGAAGTGCCGTCGCACTGATCTGGTAGAAGGACGAGTGGACATCGCTGGTTGTGGACGTAGGCGATCTGCATGATTAGCGATGATTTCGGTGATCGTGGAATTTGTCTTACGAGTAGTAACCCCCCGGTGGGCCGCCTATAGAGTGGTGTCCAAGCGATTGGTTTCCTACTGACTGCTGGTCCAGAGAGGTTGCTGAGCAATCGCTGGTCAAATTGGTGCTGGCCGTACTGCCACTGCCTGCTGGTTGGCCTCCTATGGAGTGGTGACCGAGAGATTGGTTGCCAATTGAATCGACGATGGTTTCTTGGTCCACGGAATACCTGCGCGAGGACTCGCCATTGATTTTCGATCCCGTCGGTGGCCTCCCAATTGCCAACTGACCAAAGGCGGACGGCTCGTAAGGTTGCAAGGGAGGAGAATCGGAGCGTACAGAGAGTCTGTGTCTTAATGATGCTATCGTCGTTCAGCTCGACAATTTCAGGCGTGTGTGTGCCATGAAGGCTGTCTTGTGAGGTCGATTGTCCGAGATACTCGGCGATTTCATTTTGTGTTTGCGATTGATCAAGCGAAGGAAGCGAGGGGGATAAGTATCATTCCCTCGGCCGGGTTCTTCAACAATGACTTCATCTAGATTGACGGCCAAGCTAGCAGGGCTTTTTTCAATAGTCTCCCATGGTTTTCGTGAAATACGGGCGACTAAACCAAGTTCCATCGCGGAAGTTGGCCAGGTACACTGGGCAATTGGGTAAAGATCGGCCTGGTAATTTGGATGGGCGCCCAATTCTCCCGATCGATCGATCGTGAGGTCTCCAGAGGAACAGAGATCTCGCTGATCAAAGCCTCGGCTGGAGCATTGATGCAATATGTGGATCGCCGATTTGTTTCCGAGATCTGCAAATAGTGCGCTGCTCTTTTTTTGATTTTCAATAGTGCTATTGCTTTGACGTTAAACGGTCGAATTTCTCCGTGATTAGCATGTCCGTGTGTCTAGTATTTCTGACGATGCTCGAGCTAATGTCAAAAATAGCTGATATCCATGGATCTGACCTATCGGCTTGAAGCTGCGAGGAGAAATCCCACTCGAGCACTTGTTGAGCTGAAACTGAACTGGCTCCAAGTAGATCTACCCATCACGTGCTGCTCAGTTGCCCTTTATTTTCTCACATACAAAAGGGAAAGTGATTGCTGGGAACAAAGAAAAGAGCAACCTGCTTTTGAGTACTGCCACAAACTAAACAACAAGTGAATGCATAGTCTATACCGCCATACTCTTACTACAATTCCGAATGACGCTAACCTGTTTAGCTCACCGCTCAATAATTCCAGCAGAACAGTTATCGTAATGATAGTATTGCTGTCAGTAAGTCATCGTTATAGTACCGTAATATTACATAGAACATCTAGAAATTTATGCAGATCTGGCGATCTAGGAAGATCACCTGCTAGCTTCTCTTCCCCGCTAGCCACGCTTTTCTCTTTCCCCTCATTCTTCCTATATACAGCGCAGTCCTCCTCTTCGCTCGCCAGTCATAATTCAGAGAGTTGTGCTTATTCTGTAGAGAGCCAAACGTGGCAAGGAGAGATCTTTTGTCTATCTCTATGGAGTTTGCTATATACTACGCTTCTCATTCGTTACCAGCCCTAACCTAACCGGGCTCTCCTAGCTAATGTGCCTTAGAAGGATCGTGATTATTGTGAGAGATTAGTCAACATCAACTTCATGATGTATCTTAGTTTACGGAGCACGAACCACGGGAGCACCACTCACGCCTAACACCTGGCTATTGTGGCAGCCCCTACGCAGCGCTATCGGCCCCTCTCCCCCCGGGTCTAGTGTACTTGTGAATGGCATCGAGCCCACGAGCAATTCTAGTTTATACTCACTTAGGTTTCTCTAGCTATGTGAGTGGGAAGATGGAAGAGCCTACGACGAGGACCCGCCAATGTGTATCCACTACGCTAGAGAGTGGTGAGTGACCGTTAATAATAGAGGTGTCGAAGGACATGGAAAAAGATGCTGTTTTGGCACCCAGCGCCTTCTGGTAGGTGTCATTGGAGAAAAAGCTAGAGAAAGCTCTTTGATGAAAACTGCCCACTATCGCCATTTGAAACCTGACGATACTGTCATCGTAACATTAACAAGCGATCACACTAAACGCAGACTGGCCGGGCCAACTCAATCAAGCGAATGACCTCGCGAGCCTCAGCACCACTAGCAGGCAGGGCACCGTCACCACTAAGAGCACGAACAAGCTTGCGGTAGTACCCGGTGTAGGTAAGGGGCTCGATAGTGGGGTTCTTATAGGTCATTTCTGACCTATCCACCTTGCGGAGGCTGGAGGTGATAGCCTCACCCTGGTTGAGCTAGTCGAAAACAGCGCCTATATCGGGAGCCGGAGCTGTAGGGGCGGGAGCGGGAGGAATGCCAGGTGGAGGTGGTGCTAAACGATTTGACGATACCGACATCAATTAGACCCATATCAAGAAGTAGCTTCTAATATAGTCAGATCCTTTTTTTTCCCCGTGGTAAGGAGTTCACGCTGAAGATCAATTTTAACTACGCAGGCGATCGTCACTCTTCGCTAACCGCTGGTCGGAAAGGGGAGAAAAGAGGATATTTATTTATCACGCAAAGGATGCTCGGTGAATCAGATGCACACCTCCGATGCGGAGGAAAGTGCTTCTGTTCCTGGCAACGGGAATATCTTATCGCGGAGGGTAGCAGCAAAGTCATGAACAAACCTTTAAGGCGATCTTCTTCAACCGCTTGGTAGAGCCGCAGAAGGAATGGTTTCTGGCGGACGCGACAAGCCGGCACCTGGTAGACGAAGACTGTGATAAGGTCTTAGAACGACATCCGAAGCTGTGTCGTGCACATTGCCCCTAGGTCAAGCATAACGTGCAGGCAGGCCGCTTTAATGCCTCGATTTAGCGATGGCAATTTTGGTGCCTGGTAGGGTCGCTCGTATCGTCAGCTTAAACAGCTTAAACCCGATGAGATCCCGGTTGGTGCTCTCGATTAAACGAATGCTGCAACAATTTGCTGATCAGCGAGGTGCTGCGACGAACTAGTAGATCTATCGAACTATAAATCATATGATCGGCGGTTTTTCTTTCTATTTTGATAATCCGTTTGTTGTCCAATTCGAAAGGATTTGCCATCTAGTTCGTCCCATAGTTAGCCATCGGCGAATTTCAGCAATCAGAATACTCAAAGAAAGTATGCTTTTGATCTAGAGAAGACTCACCAAGCTCATGAGCTGCCAGTAGATCTAAATTATGTTAGACATGAACTATAATTTCTTTACGTACCATCATTCAGGCAAATGAAAATGCACTACCCCATTCGAAATCAGAGTGGAGCACCCAGTTTGATGATCGCCTGCTACCATTATGCGTCTTGCGCCAACTCCGCCTAAGGTTGAACCTTGTGGATCCTAGCGTGCAATCTTATAAGTAGGCGGTTGCCCCTGGTGAAATACGAATTACCTGAATTTTTCTCCAGCACCGCATCCTTCGACTTCTGCTTGCGGAAATACCCAATAATTCAGCACATTCCTTGTTTCGCGACTTGCTTTGTGATAAAGGAAAAATGAAGACTATTGTATTCGCCGCTTTTTTGGTGGCAACTAGCCTGGCTTTAGCTTCTGATCCTGGCAATAGTCCTGGCAATGGCGACAATCGCTCCGCGCCCCTTTGTCCCACCGGGCTTTATTCACAGGCACAATGCTGTTCTACCGACGTTCTTGGGCTCGTGGATATCGACTGCAAGAATCCCTCTTCCAGCCCGTCGAATCTGGCCAATTTCAAAAGGGACTGCGCCAAATCTGGGAAATCAGCCAAATGCTGTGTTCTTCCAATTGTGAGTTATGATCACCACACCCAACCGGCCATTTTTCTCGTTTTTGTCTAAATCTTATCTCCATTTCGCCTCTAGGCCTCACAAGACGTACTGTGCGAAGATGCTGTCTAAGCGGAAATTGCGGTTATCATAGTCCTGAGGTCGACGTGCCAAGTACGCCTCTAGCATAGACGCCAGCATTAGCTTCAATGAATCTCCAGTACACATTTGCGAAATACGACCAGTGGTAAGGAATCAAGAATGTTGAAACTGGGCTCCAGCACGATGATTTTTGTTTAAGAGCGTAAGCTAATAGACAACAAATTTCTTGGCTTCTATTGCAAGGTGTAGAGGTGCGTCTCGAAGGTTGAGCACATTAAGAGATTTACTCTCTAAATAACCGAACCTTCTTAAATCATGTAAGAGCTGAGGCAAACCAGACCGTGACGAGAGGTAACCATGGGGAGGACAAATTCCAAGACAAAAAAAAACGTCTTCCAATGAATAGTTCGGAGAATCACCGCTTGGAAACTCCGGAGCGGTGGGTTTGTGTTTCACCACGAAGCATGCCGGTTTTCGAGTAGACGCTCACACAATGCTTCCACAATAATTTGTGTGATACCCCGTGACCGTTTAGCTTCAGTGGAAGGAGTTTTGATGCTACCGAAACCACATTAGAACGGGTCCTGCTGAGGGAGCGAGTGTATCACAGTTCCGTGTAAATTACATTGATATCCGGTTTCACATTCTTACTGTAAAATACAGATACTATAATTGGAAGCGGTCTGGAAAGCGGAGTGATCGACTCCATATCGGGACTAGCGCATGTCGGGAATCAAGGAAGAGTGTAGAGGTATAGTTGTTTTCGAAAACTACAGTACAGAGCCAATTTTCAGTTCATTTATAAGGCGGTGCGAGCGATGTGCGAAAAAGACCTAATTAACAACAGAGATCTCACTTATAACAGTCCCAAGTCAAAATCTACCCCTGGAGACCAGAAACCAGCTTGTCACCAAGACCCTTGATGCTATCCTCAAAGGCATTGCGATCTCCAGCCTTCCAGTTGGCACTGCTACCAGGAACAGCACTTTGACCAGTGAACCCAATGTACAGCACATCATCATCTGTATGTCCATTATCACCATTGATACCATCATTGGGGTAGCACATCTGAGCCAACGAAATCGACGCTTCACCAGTT